CCAATTATTTGTCCCTTTATTCCTGTTTTTTCCTCTATTTTTTGTTATTTCGTGGCTCAAAAACCAAGCATTTTATTTTAATTCTTTCCCTCACCCAAACTAAAAAACCCTCACCAATTGTCGTCTTCGCTGTTTTTAATTTCAACTTCTCACATCTCCTTTGAAATCCAAACAAGCAGGTGCACAAACACCTTTTTTTAGCTGTTCTTCAGTTTCTCAAAAGTCTCTTTCTCCTGCTACCTCTTAACTCCTCTCTCTCTTCACTCAACAGCATGTTTTCATCAATGCATGCTTCCTCTGTTTTTTCCATCCTTCCCCTCCTCTTTTGTGTCATTAAGTTTTTAAGAATAACCCTGGGCTCCTACAACAGATGCTGCGGAGGTAAAAGAGCTTACGTGCACAAACGCGCATGTCAACAGAACATGCTATTGTGTTGGAAAGGTAGAGCTGTTAACACTGTCTATTAGTGAGACGGAGAAGTCTTTCTGCTAGAATCAGCCACATTATAATGACATCTCACTTTCCTGCATGGCTTTCTCTCTCTCGGCCTTTTGCTCTTTGTTATTCAAAACTCTCATCAGAAAAGGTTGTTTTCTCCTTGCGGCTCCATTGAAGCATCCGCCTTCAGGAGAGTTTCATCTTCTTTTTGTCGGGAATAAAAGCTGCAACACCCTGCAAGATGGTGATCAATAGATTTCTGTTTGAGCTTACCTCTGTGGAAAAAGAGACATCTAGTTTCGGTAAATAACTACATCTTAATTAGCGCTAAATCCAATTAAGTACTTATTATTATTTTAAGATTTCAGATATTTTCTTCAACAGATTGCAGCCCTTGACTCCCTGCTGAATATCTCCAGCTCTGACGACAGATGTACTCCACAAAGGCAGACCATGAGACGCATAGCATCTTAAAAAAACAAAAACAAAACACAGGCATCACATAAATGGAACAACTTCACGCTGACTTCTCACCAAAACTCCCACATTAAAAACATGAATGCAGAAAAACACACGGGAGCCTGGCGTATAACCAAAGCCTGCAGCTATTCAGAAAAGGAGATGGTTGCAAGGCTGGATAATCATTAGACCGCAGACAAAGCAGAGGCGCACACACTCACGTACACACAGATGCTGGGAGGCAGGAGCTGCAACATGTTTAACAAGGAGTGAGAGAAAGTGAGGACCGAAGGGGAGAACGCTTTTTGAGTGAAAGGCCATCTGCTGAATCAGTGGCGATGCCAGTCGCTCGCAAGCTTTCCCATTGCTCGCACCTGCCAGCCTGCCAAAGCACCCTCAGGAGGACGAAAGCACCAACTTCACACACACAAACGCACACGCACTCTCGTGGAGCAATAATGCGGCACGCACACAGGCTATAACTGGTGTGATTTGTCAGCGCCGTGCTGCGTCTGAGGAGCTTTCGACGTTTTTTCATGTTTTCCCTCCTGCGGTAACAATAGCATAACAGCACTTTATTAAACGAGAACAGGACAGAACAGAATGGCCTGCAAATCAGCCCGTTTATGAGGCATAGCTGTGCGGTGCCCTGCCAGCAAAGGCTGCAGGGGAGTGTGTGTGTGTGTGGGGATGTGTGTGAGCCAGAAAGACAGAGTGACTGTACCGGCATTCATTGTTATTTTATAGTTCAGTGATAAAAAACCTCCCTATCAGGGTGCTCAAGATGTGGTCAGGATTGTAGATTCAATAGGTGAACTAGGTGTAAAACAAGAACAAAAAGCTCTCCAGCACTTGTATCCAGGCTGGTGATTATTGGGGAAATGATTTAAACAGCTGACATTTAGGGAGAAAAAGGGCCTTACAAAGGTCTGGTGGGAAATCATTTCAACCCTGGCTGACTCTCAGTGTCAATTTCAATTCCAGTTTAATCATCGTCCACACTGAACCAGTCTCAAAGCATACATCAGATTCTCCATACATTACTGAGGAAGGGAGTGTCATCCAAATGTGAATTTCAAGAACGGAACAGGAAATGAAAGCCAGGGAGCTGAAGATGAAGCGAAATGACGAGACAAGCAGAGAGAGTGCTGTGAAAAGAGAGAGAAATGGACTGATTCACAGATAAGATGGCAGGTTTAGGGGGAGGTATGGTCAACAAGAGAGGAGAGAAGACCAATCCTTATTTTTAGATTTCTCCCAGTTCCTCCAAAACCTGAAGTATGACACTCCTATTGCACCTAACAGTGCAATCGCCCACCCATCATCCCTCTCTACCCTTCCTTCTCCTCCTCCTCTCTCAAACACACTTGTAATCTACCTTTTCATCTTTTGCTTCTTGCACCTCACCCCTTCTTCCCGCTGTGCCGCTGGCTCTCCTCCTCCCTCCATCAATCTCCTTTTTTCCCTCTTCCTCTCTCAAGCCTCCTCCTTTTTCTCTCTATCTTTCACACCATCTCAAAATGTAGCTCTCTAGTGGCACAAACATACTTCAGATGTACCCCCCCTCTTGCTTCAGTCTGTCACTGCCTTTCTAATACGCTCTCATTTTCTCCTCCACTTGTGTCTCTCCTTTACCTTGCTTCTGTCCATCCCCCCCCCCACTCCGAGCTCTCTCTTTCTCTTTTCTCTCTATTGATGTACCTTTGATCCTCGCCTCATTCCCCAGCTACAAACACACTCCACCTATACGCACGTCCGCACACATTTTGACAGATGTACAGATGTTGTTTAATAGAAAGCAGTAATCAACACTACTTCACTCCCAAGCGTCCCCACCTCCAAATGGAAGAAAGATAGATAGAGACGGAGTGAAAGAAAGAGGAGGAGAGGGAGAGAGAGGCCTGAAATTGATGGCAGTGCATCGACCCTTCCGTAAAACCTAGTTAACACCTCCCCAGCCTGTGAAACCTGATTAGTTGAGTGTGTGTGTGCGTGTTTGTGGCATCCTGCGTGTGTTCGTAGCTCGCTATGTTTAACAGGTTGTTTTGATTTTTACACACACAACCTCATAATTCCCCTCTGATTAAAGAAAATGTTGATGTGTTCCCATTCCTATGCCGTGTGTGTGTGTCACACAGGACAGTCTCCACTGATTACATCCCTCCTAGTCAATAGTGAATAGAGCACTCAGCCTGATAAGCAATCACCTGAATCAATACTAATGTTTTTAGTGTGTGTATGTCTGTGTGTGCATGTTTGCATGTGTGTGTGTGTAATTCTTAGCATGTAGCTAATCTAAGCGGAGCTCATAGAGGATAAACATTTAGTTACAGGCACGGTAAATCACAGATGCTGTCGTCCCTTTCTCTCCTCTCTTGCCACCGTCCCTTTCTTCTCCATCCAAAGAGCCCTCTCCTTACTCTGACCCTTTTATCTTTCTCGCCTCTCACCAATCGGCATTCTTTTATTTTCCTTTCTCCTTCTCATCTCCTCCTCCTCTTTGGCCTTCTTCGAGACAGAGCGTTAACAGCAACCTAACCTTCAAAGGATATCAGAGAGAGTCCATGCTCTTCACATACAGAATAACGCAGCCTTTAGTTTAGGCTTTAGCAGCAGTGTAAATGTCAAAGTTGGAGGCCCCGCTTTTGGCACACCCACATGTAATCCCTCACAGACAGACAGAGAGATATGAAGTGAGACCAAGTGGAAGAGCCTGCTGAACTCTCATGTGTACGTGAATGCACAACTATAATACCAGTTTGGCCCTCTACATGTGATTAGTGGCAGATTTGCTTTGAGCATGAGCTATTGTCTTCTATGGAAATACTGAAGACGCAAACCTCATGGCAGCACTACCTTGGACGTTCCACGTAAATGTCAATCAGCTCAAGTCAGCAGCCAAACCAGAGTTGGTGGAAAGTTGAACGAAGACTGTTTTTATTTGTTTCCATTCCTCCTGCATGACGTGTGTTTTACAACGATAAAATTACAGTTTATTTAAATGGAGTCTGGTAGATTCATGGGCTGCATCTGGTAAGACAAAAAGGATCTTACTTTTAAACAAAAACATCCATCTCTGTAGGGATCCTTTTCCATAATGTTGTCAGACTCTTACGATAACAATCTGAGCCTGACAGTGTCAAAAACAAATACTTTTAATGGATGGACACTGACGTTGCCCAATTACCCATTAACATTGCAGCTTGTATCGCTGTTGCCAACTGAAGCGCTCTCACACAACTCTGAACCAATCTATAAAATTGTTGCTCCCATTGGTTGCTTTGACACAAAAAAATAGGAAAATAGGGTCTAGATTGAAAAATACCAAAGTTTCCCCTAACCTTCCTTGTCGGTTACCCTATATTGTGCCACCAGTGAGATCACAGCTGTCAGTGGCGTAACCCGAGAAAGACCCATGATGGTGTTTGCCAAAACGAAAACACCAAAACCAACAATTTGTCAGTCTTAGTACTTTCCACTTTAAGTCTGTGACCCTTAGCCCGTTGGTTCCCCATGAAGATGTAAATCTTTATTTAGGAGATGCGCTTTGGGGACTTCAGCAACACAAAGTTTGCTGATCTGGTGGGAAGTCAGTACCGTCTGGGATCAGACAGCTGGCACAAAAATGATCAACTGGAGGTATCGTCTGATTGGAGACATTTCGATACTACTTGGTACTGGGTTATTTCAGTTGATACCTTAAATGTATCAAGTACAGATACTCAGCTCTAAACATGGGTAAACAGTGCATTTGTTGGTAACTAATCTCAGCTGTGGGGTTGATGCTTCAGTGAGCGTTTACGACAGTCTATTAGTATATTAGACTGACTCATCATAAACTACAGTGCCAATGTTCTGTCAGGCAGTGCAGAGATGTTTTTGGACAACAATAGCAAAAGGTCATTTGCTCAGTGAGTTGGATCGATTGGTAGTTTTTGGTCTTTTCCACCTTTTAACAACCTTGTTTGGGGCTGTTGTTTGATATTTGAAACTATCCAGAGAAGCCTGCCACATGTTTGATGTATGCTACACTTTACCTTTGCCCTGTGCACTCATACAGTTCATACTGATGTGACTTTGGTGTCTCTTTATTTTGACCCTACCTTCCGCTGACAACGAAGCAAGTCACCAGGAAGATGAGCAGAACGATTCCCCCGGCGATGGACACAGCCAGAATGGTGGACTGGTTAGGGTCCCCGATGGCAAAGACATCTATATAGGAGACAAAGGGAACACAGCGGATTCATAAACAAAAGCACAAAGGAGGATGGAAAATGAGCAGAGGATGTTTTCTGCAGCAAGGAAAGTGAAGGGAGAGAAGACGAAGGGAGGCTGGGAGTAAAAAAGACAGCAAGGTGAGTGTGGTGGGGAAAAGTGGGAGAGAGAATGAAATATGATAGCATTAGAAAAGAGATAAAAGACAGAGGTTGAAGGAGAGGGAGAAAAGAGAGAGCGGCGAACGAGAAAAAGAGAGTGAGGGAGGTGGACGGAATAGTAAGTAAGGTCCTTGATGAAAAGCGCTCTCCCTCTCTGCATCGCCTATGAGGGTATGAGAGTGGACGTGAAAGCCATTCCCATTCGGCCGCGCTGTCCAAATGGATATGTTAACATTGCACATAACAAGGCTACCGCCGAGAACTTTCTGCAAAGATGCATCGATTTTTACGCCACACCAATCGAGCCATTACTCAAAACAAATACCCCATTTATCTGGCTTAGCTAAGCATGAGCGGACACGTGTGTCTGTATATGTGTGTGTGCGTATGTATATATGAGTGTGTGTTGTGTGTTGAAGAGGCAAATGAATGCCCCAGGCAGCCACAGATAAGCATTGATCTCCTATTACATTTACTGGCGCACACATATACAGCCTTCTCTAACAATCAATACAATTGATCTGATTAGATAACCTTGATATGATTGCTCTGGGGTCAGCTGAATGTGGCACAACCTGTATTTTACAGCTCTGAACTTGGCTGTGAACGTGCTGTATGAAGGCTGAGTAACGACTATATACCAGTGATACCTAACCTGTGTCCTGAGCTCCAAAAGCTGCAGCACAATTGCAATCTTTTTTTTTTTTTTAACGTCACATTCAAGATCATTGTTGCAGGATAAGAACAGAAACCCAGCTTTGAAATCCTTTTATTGATTATTGAATGATTAGCAGGCTAATGTGTGCCTGCTGTATGCTACACAGACAATCTATAGCGCAGTGCTGTACATTAACTGATTTATCCCCCTCTGCCTGCCTGTCTGGGAATCAATGTTCACTTTGAAGTGCGCGTTATGGGGCCTCTAAAGCAGAAAATCCTGGAGCACATAATAAAGCGATAATGAAAGTGGATTACAGCAAACAACAGAGAAAAAGGACAAGTGACACAAAACATCATGACAGAGATACAGCATAGTATGCCTCAGAGCAGCATGTGAGGCCTGGCCCCACTGACCCAGATCGAACCAGGCATAGATTTCTCTTTTGTGCCTCCTCCTCTTCTTTCCTAAAGTCTAAGTATGGAATACATCTCTTAATGTAAATGGTCAGTCTCCTTGAAGCAGAAATACAGATCACTGGAGTTGCAGTGAAGTTGTAAGTGGGGGGAATAAAACCAATCCAAAACACAGGAGTCAGATGTCCAGTCAATATTAAGGCCTAGTCCACATTGACACGGATATTTTTGTAAACAGGACTGTTCTCCGTCCAAAATGAAAATCCAGAAACACAACTGAAGCGCTGGCAAGAGTGTGCCAAACCCACAGGTGGTGATATAACCTTAACCCTAAAGCCAAAAAGAAGATGTTGGCTAATTAGCAGCCTGAAAAAAGCTACTACCTGAAGGCAGTGTTGGGCATGTTATTCTAAAAATTTAATATATTACTCGTTACTCTTTTCAAAGGTAATAAAATTACTTAACTATAACTCCCTGCCAACAGTAATTCGTTAGACTACTCGTTATATTGCTTTTCCATTACACCACATTAGGGACAGCAGCAGCTCAGTCCATAGGGAGTTGGGTTGGGAAGCGGAAGGTCGCCGGACTGGTAGCCGGAGAGGTGCCAGTTCACCTCCTCCATTCACTTTTGGAGCAACATTTCATCCACCACATATCCAGCCACAACCTTCATTACTTCTTTGTAGCTGCAGCTGACCATGATTAAAATCCAGTTTTGGTTGTTCAGCCAGCTGACCCCAGTGGCTGAGGAGGGCTCATCTTTGGTGGGGTGTATTTCCTGGAGCTTCACGTTGTTGTGCTGTCGGTCGTAGTAGCCAAAGTGTTTCAGACTGGAGGTTTGAGGACGTGGTTTTTTGCAGTGGAAAGAGTTTTAGTCAACAACTTGCAGCAGCAGTGTTCTTGTCATCTTTCCTCGGGACAAAACCAAAGTAATGGAAATATTTGCAGCTGCTAAGGTAAGCAATACCAACTAGTTTGCTGCTTTATGATGTACGTGTGCAGCACGACGATTATTAAAATGAGTCTGCTGACGTGACTGTTGTATTTCAAGTCAGTAGTGACATGATAATAAAAGCAACCTTGTAACAAGTTGTGTGGTTTTGGAGCGTGTTATGCCAAACACTGCCTGAAGGCTACCTGTAGTTGTGCATTCTGACGCCTCTGTTCCTTAATATAATAGAAGAGTAACTGTAGATTTATGTGTAAAAAGTCCTGCAAGCAAGGTCAGAGCCAGCACTATTTTGGTCACATTGGCAACTGCACAAAACGTCGCCTCATATTTGATGCTTCACAAAGGAGATATTTGCGCACACTGTAACGTTACAAGGCCAGACTCGCAACAGTGAAAAGAGTTATTTTAAAATCTTCACCCTGGACAGACTTTTACAAAAGTTTCATTTTTAGTGACCTAAAATGCAGTGTGCGTGTGGACAAAAGACCATTTGAAAAGCTACAATTACAAAATACTCGTGTCCCTGGGGACGAGGCCTAAATTCATTCATGAGGAATTCTGGTGTTTTTCGTTCCATCTTTTAAATTCATGGTTAAATTCATGATTTCTGCCAGGTGCAAACTTCTTCCAGCCTTTTTAGACTTTGCTCCCGTCCTTGGTGTAAGTCAAAAGCTCACAATCCAGGAAAGCAAGTTTGCAGATTCTTTTTTTTCCTCCATTGCGAAATTGGATTGTCTCCTTTTTACCTGATACTTATTCTAGGATACTTTCAAGCCACCGGTTCAGACACGTAGATGACAACCTGTGAGGCTGCCGACGTTTCTCTCTCTGACAACAGAAGTGAAGCAGCCATTCAGATGAAAAGTGAGCTATTTTATAACCATCAGGTGGATTGATTTAAACTGCAGGGGGGATGAATCTGACACTTTACAGTACTGCAATGTGATATAATATGCCAGTACGTTTTCCTCTGCAGTTAATCTTCGTGCTTGTGGTTTGCCTTCACCATTCACCTCTTATTTTGTTGTGTTAACACTGGATTGTTTTTCAATTTGCCTGCCATTCCGATTTTCAGCCGAAAACCACAGAGAAATTTAAAAAAAAAAAAAAAAGGGGGGGGGGGGAAGAGATGAAACAATAACAATTCAATTGCACAAAATGAAAAGGCAAAATAAAGGGGGAAAAAAATGAAATGGCTTATTCATTACAAATAAATATGTATTATTCACTCCTTTACCTTCGTGGCTTGTTTCCAATTCGATCTCTCCGCCGTAGCTCCCATAGCCCCCATCAGTCCGAGCCCTGACCCTGAACACGTAGGTGGTCCCTGGCTTCAGCCCGTCCACTGTCATCATGTTGGAGCGAGTCTTCAAGACTGTGTAGTTCTGCTCCCGCTGATTCTGAAGTGTGGGAAAGAGCAGGAGGAGAGAGTTTAAGGCCAAATTCATTGGATAATACTAAGTGTCAGAGAATAATGTCATCGTGGATAAAAAAGGGCTGAAATTATAGATATACTTTAAAGGGTTATATAAAGAGCAATGGACTGTGGTATCGAGAGAGACAGAAAAAACCCCAAGAAAGTCTGACAATAATAGAAACCTCAAATTGTTTAATTTAAATGTCTCCAGGGGCTACATCCACCTCACTAAGTTTTCATTTGTTCATCACTGGACCATTTGGTCGCATTTATACATGAGCATCTGTCAAGTCCCAAATCTTATCCTCTTTACACTTGGGGGCAATATGTGGTTACTCAAGTCCCGCTTCACTTCGCTCCTCAACTACCTTGTAGGTGTGTGTGCGTGTGTGTGCTTGTATGTGTGTGCACTTTAAAATGTGTGTGTAGGAGGATGAATAAAGAATAAGTGTGTCTGTCAGTAAGCTGATTCCCTGCAGAGAGGCTGATACTCTACCTAATGGAAGACACTCTACAACAAGGATTAACACTATTTTACAGCTAATGCCTGCCAACACACGCACACACACACACACACACACACACACACACACAGAGGCTTAATTTCATCACCTTGGCCGTGTTTTACGAGGTTTGTTCGACAGATGTGTGGTTAATTGGCTTGGTGTGAGCAGTAGGGGAGACGTGAGGGATAGAGAGATAGAGGGAGATACATTTGTGATGAACAGTCATTACAGACGTGCCCTAAGGCTAAACCCATATCCTACGAGCCTGGACGCCATGTAGATGAAGAAAACAAAGGGAGGGGAGAGGAACATGTTGCGTTGAACTTGTTTAAAGGTTGCTCCAGAGATTTAGTGTTGTACTTAAAACAAGTTTTACATTTTAGGGTCAGACGAGGGTCATATCTTTGGGCTAAATATGAAGCTATAGCCAGCAGCTGCTTAGCTTAGCTTAGAACAAAGACTGGAAATAGGGAAACTTTTGCATGGCTAACAAAATCTCCCTACCAGCTCACAAATTAACATGTTCTATGTCCTTTGTTAATCAATGCAAGAAAGATATGACATGGTAGTTTGTAAGCTTCAGAGATGTTGGTAGGTAGACATAGCAAGGCTAGCTGTTTCCTCTTGTTTCCAGTGTTTGTGCTAAGCTAACTAGCTGCTAGTGATAGCTTTGTATTTACCGCACAGACATTAGAGTGGTATCAGTCTTCCCCTCTAAAGGCCTTTACACACTCGGGGTGTGACAAGCAACATGTTGTAACACTTGTTGCATTTAAGGTTTTGATGCAAATAGATTCAGCTGCAGTGATGTGAATTTGCAACACCTACTGGGATCTGACCCAAAGGTGTCTGGCAGGCCTGTCTGAGGTAAATTGTTATATAACCTAAAAGCTACTTTATTGAGTTTCCTTTCAGCAAAATGCTGAAAATGCTGAATTCACTCAGAGTGAATTTGAGTTCCTTCTGGTAAACAGCTTCATAATGCAGATGTCTTGGGCTTTTATGTGAAAGGTAATATGGGAAGTAGTGGATCTGGTATGCGCTACCTTTGCCAGTGTTGAAAGAAGTAATAAAGTTTGCCATATTGGTTCAGACTGCGGAGCCTCCATGTTGCTGTTTTATAATCTTCATAGCGATAGGCGAAACATAATTGGTTGATGCCTTTATTTGCAATGCAAAAGTCAGAAAAATCATTCATTCATTCATTCATCTTCTAACCACTTCATCCTCTTGAGGGTCGCGGGGGGGCTGAAGCCTATCCCCATCCCGGCGAGAGGCAGGGTACACCCTGGACAGGTCGCCAGACTATCACAGGGCTGACACATACACACCTACGGACAATTTAGAGTTATCAATTAACCTAGTCCCCAATCTGCATGTCTTTGGACTGTGGGAGGAAGCCAGAGTGCCCGGAGAGAACCCGCGCTGACACGGGAAGAACATGCAAACTCTGCACAGAAGGGCGCCCACACCCGGGATCGAACCGGCAACCCTCTTGCTGTGAGGCGACAGTGCTAACCACCACACCACCATGCCTCCCCTCAGAAAAATCAATCTTTTTTTGAGAAAAAAAAAAAAAAAAAAGAATTACGTCTCTTTACGATGCAACAAATTCAAATTCCTTGTTAAAGTACTCATGACAAAAACAATTTTTAAAAAATATAGTGACATGGACACACACACACAAAAAAAACGCCCCTGATGTATAAAGGACAAGAACAGAAATACCTCCCAAAATCCGACTTTTGTTTGTAACACAGGCTTTCTGTTACCAATCTGACGTAACAAGTAAACTGATCTCCATGTGTAATTGTTGGAGTGCCTCTTTAAAAATGAGCATGTGCGCGTCTCGCTCACCTTCTCATAGTAGATGACCTCATACTCCACTATCGCTCCATTTGGTCTCTCTGGACCCTGCCAGGCCAAAGTCACACTGTCCTTGCTCCGCCTCTCCTTCAACACGACGCTCACTGTGGAAAACAAAGAACAAAAGAGGAAAGCATGAGCAACAAAGAGAGAGTAAAGTTCAATGAGAGACAGGGAGAGAGCAGGCTGTGCGGGAGAGGAGACAGATTTCATGTGGATACCCACTGTGCTATAATGAGAAGACCCATATTTGAAGTGCTCTGTGTAATTTTGCTAATGAGAGAGAGCTTACAAGGTGTTTTATACATGTGTGATTACAGTATTCTACTATGTGTGTATGTGTGACATGTGTGTGCGAGTTGTGTGATATACTGTATTGGAGTTATTCATGTGCACACCCTCAAATCCTGTGACTTCCCACCCCGCCCTCCCACGTCGGGGCACATGCTCGTATGGGTTGAAAGTGTATTTTTTCCTTGTGTAAAAATGTGCATGGCATACTGTAGAGAGCAGCACGTGGCGTGTGGGGATCATAATGAGGTTAACAACCTCCTACACCCTTTTCACCTTCACCCCCTCCTGTTGGTACACACACATTCATAGTGCGAGGTCTATTAGTCATCACCACCCTGTCATACACGCTTCCTTTGCACCAATTTCGCACAATGCCACACTGTGAAAGATGTACGTGTGACTGTAAGAGTGAAGGCAGAGTTGCAGAGGTGTCATTTTGTGGTATCGGAGTGATGCAGCACAGCGATGATTTTACAGTTGTCATGTAAAAAGCCTGACACTATTTGTGAGCACACTGCAATCAGGAGACAATTTTGAAAAATGCTCCTTCTAAACCATCATACAAATTCCTGGTTCAGGCTGATGAATACGTTCTCCCCTGGAAGATTTTATTTCCTTATCAACCTTTCAAAGTGGATATCAATATAGTCATGCAGAATCCTTTCTTCTTAAGTTTTTTACTGCAATTTGAATGTGAAAATACCCTGCCACACATGAAATTATGCTGTGAAAAAGCCGTCTGAGTCAACAAATGCTGGTGTTTTGACATTCTTGGTTAAATTTGGGGATTTGTTTTTGTGTTTTTTACATTACTCCCATAATGCGTGTATGCTCCCACCTGTCTGTGAAGTAGTGACGTTGATGACTACTGTTCCCCTGGGTGTGGGACTTAGATCCGACACTCCGTTCTGGCTCTCAACAGTGAAGCTGTAGTTGGAGTCCGGCTGCAGGTCTGTGACCAGCACGGTGGCTGACGAGAGGCCGAACTGTCTAGGAACAAAATGGACGCTACTACCGCACGGTGTGCACTTCCTGCTGTCACCGGAGCACTTCCTGCAGTGGAGGCTGTAGGTGATGTCTCCCCGGCCTCCTGTGTCTCTGGGCGGTGACCACTCCAAGGTGACGCAGGTCTCGTTCACAGTGGAGATGGGGTTCTCTGGAGCAGATGGAGGACCTGAAGGAAGACAAAGGCATAGATTTATTTCTGTCAACTTGTTAAATGTGTGCATGTCAAGAGCGTAGTCTTATTCAATCTACTGGGAAATGACTGGTGGTGAATATGAGGGGTTTGAAGCTGGCCTGTGGAGTTTTTTCCCCAAGGGCATAGTGTGTATCCTTGAGGCCTGAATCTGATAGACATGTATAAAAGAGTTCTCAAACGATTTAGCGTTGCACTCATAAATAACATGGACTCAAAAAGTGCTCCTCCTGAAGGGCTGACGTTCTTCCCAGAACCATCTGATTCTGAAGAACCCTTTCTTCTTAGGACTAAGGGTTTTATTAAGGACCCATTTTATCCAAAGAGACCTTATTCCCCTTATACCCTTATTATGGTTTCTTATAAGACTAATGGTTCCATTAAAAACCATTTTCACCCAAAGTGTTTAAAGATCCTCACCCTCAAATATTCAAATGTTTACCAATGTTTCTGCCTGTATTTTTAAATGTGGAGGTATCCCCTAATTCCCCTTAATCAGTTCACTTTAATTGTGTTCTGCCATAGTTAATATCTTCACCATCATTTCGGTTTTAGTTCTAAACCCTCACTGCACCACTGAAATAGTAAAGCCTGTAGTAGTAGTTTAACAAAATCTCCACCCCCAAAAAATGTGATTGTGAATCGTTATTGTTGTTGGTTGTACTGGACCACATTTGCCCCGGCCCTTATGGAGCATCACAAAGCCCATATAAAACATTATTAGTGAGAGGTGGATCAATGTGTACTGTAGTCAGTCACTATTATTAGAGCCCTGGGTGGTGCTGTAATATAAAAAGACGTTTCGGTAGAACGTCCTGGTTGGGTTCTAAATTAAACCCTGGGGTTATCGGGTGAACCCCCAGAGTGGATTTTTGTTTGCACCCTTAAAAGGTGAAAGGTTGTGGATAGAGTCCCTAGATAACAATTTTCCACCAACATGGAATGGGTTCTGTCCCAGTTTCCGCACCTAGTTTTGAACTATTCATAGCATTTTGACCAAAAAGATAATGGTTCGGAACCCAGAAAGTTTGTTTGTAGCTTGAACCAAAAATAGTAGGTTTCTTGTAACCTCAAGTGTGAACCTTGATGACATCGATGGACGTGTCATAATCTACAGGCTGGAAAGACAGGACAGAAGAGGCAACAATGGAGATCTTAATTGAGAAATCGTTGGGAAGAAAAGAGTGTGCAGGTGGTCCATGACTGTTTTTGGATAGAAACAACAATCTGGAATAACAGCACAAATGCTTGCAGATAATCGATCTAATACGCCATCTTTCTACTAGTGTTCGCTTCAGTTTTGCATTATGCAACACCCTCTACCGATTCTTGATTACATGTGCGTCCTTTCAAAACTGGTGGAAATGTGTGCTGGTTGGTGAGGTAGCACCAAGGTTCCAGGAGTCCTGAACAGACCCAGTTCAAGAGCCAGGGCTAATTTGGTGAAAAGGGGTAAGAGAGGGTTCTGGATAGACCTCATGACCTGATGAAGATCGGTAGCTCAAAATGTCGTCATTTCACTCAGTGAATAAATTGCACTGAAGAGGAGCCCTGCAGTGTAAGAGCCTTTCTTTACCTGCTCAGGGTTCTGGATAGAACCATGATACCATAGAAAGGTTTTCTGTAGAACCTCTCAAGGGGCATTCTGGGTTGAACCTTTCTTTCATGGTTTTAGGTATATCCCTTTATATCCGATTCTAGGTATAACTGTTTTTAAAGGGCTCTACCAGGAACAAAAAAAGCGCTCTCCTATGGGGACAAGCTGAAGAACCCTATGTGGTTCCATTTAACACCTTTATTTCTAAGAGTGTAGATTCAGCTGAACCAGAGAGATAGTCCATGCTTATCCCAGCATACACTCGGTGAACTGAATGGTACAACCTGAACATGTCGCAGTCTATCCACTGCTGAGCTGCTGCACCACCCCTTATCAGTGCCAGCTCATGAAACACTGACTGATGAATATTATTTTTTTCCCGAATGTACATTCTCCAAACGTGCATTGTCTTCATGTTCATTACCAAACTTATTGCAGTTTCTATTAAGAACAGAATTCACATTGATTCAATTAAAAATGAATTAACCGTCTCCAGCCAGAGGGGTGGACACTTAGCGCTCGATTAATGAACAGCTATGGAATGGACAGTGATTAAAAGAGCCTGGCTGATTGTAAATGGGACAGTATGAGAATATATTACGCTTCTGAAGTTTAAATCCATCTTTAAAGAGAATTCACATGCTGTTAAATAGTTGACGCTCGACTGCAGGGAGGGTTTTACCCTGTGAAGTTAACTGATACTCTTTGGGGGCTGCACTGCAGACAATTAATAGTGAGTGGACAATGATCTATAGAAAGTGCCCGGAGTAATTTTCTCATGAGTCAGGTACATTTTATGATTTAGAGCGGTTAATATTACTCTGAACTTCAGCTGAAGTGATAAGTGTGTCACAGAGTCCAAAAACTGTGTCAGTTATCATTCTCAAAGAAGCATAGACACAGCGACACACAGTTTGTTCATACTGATACATATATATGAATGAATAATATTTCAAATGGTTTGCGTACTGAGATTTTAGCAACCACACTGTAAGGGGCTCAATTATTGTAGATGTGACTGCATGTATGTTATTTTATTGTGCAGACTCCAAATGAAAGATGCCAGACAAAATTAAATTTGACACTCCCCGTTCATGAGCATGTATGCACATGGATCAAAGAGGTATCAGGGAGCAGAGACACGGAAGACATAACAGAACTAAACAGCAGCTTAGGGGCATTAAAATGAATATATCCTACCAGATTTGGGGATTACAGAGTTTTAATTCATGAAGTTCTGTTCAGGGCTGCAGTAACGTTGTGTTGGACAATGGGTACCTAACTTGGATGGTGCTCATACACCCTTCTCTTTCCTGTTAGCTCCCTATAACATACTCTATTCATTGTGTGGAGGGCATGCATGCATGGACTTGTTGCTCCAGGTCAACCTCTCTGTGCCAACGTGTTCCCACTTTCACGTGTATGAGGGGGCTGCAGTGATATCGAGTGGTGCAAGAATGACAGGGGTTTTTGTGGGCCAACCCAGAAGTTAGCATTGACCTCGTTCCTTCGACAGAAAGTCCATAGGATTTTTTTCTATTGGATTTTAGATTATTACAGAAAGTAAGTTCTGTGGCAAACAAAAGTCAATGATACTTGTTTTACTTGGCAAGATAATCATCACAAATGAACACCATTTGTCTGATCTTTGAAGCATAAATGCAATCACAAGAGGTAAAAAGCTAACATTAAATATAAACAAACTACACAACAGTGGCACGACTTCAACGTTGTCACCACAACGAGGCTGTAAAGCCATATGTGGTGCAATGATGTCATCTCATTCAGCCACTTGTTAGCAACCACCTTTTTCATAGACGAATAAAAGCTTCAGAATTCACAAGTGGGGTATTTCCTAACGTATTTTATGTCAGATAACAAAATGTGAAAATCTCTCAAGGTTGTGTTAACTACAGACCTTGTTTCAGACATCTAACCAAAAACCCATTTAAACATCCCTTTGATTTTCACACACGGGAACTGGAAGTGTAAAAATGCTAACTCATTTTTGGGTTTTAGGTCTCATTCCTGCACCACGTTGTTTGTCTGAACAGTCTTATCGTGAAGCAGATACAAGAAGTGTTGGTTGCTTTTTCAATAAATAAGTAAAACTAAATCTGGGCTTTTTCTTTGCTTTCTGATTGGCAGATCAGTTTTCAATATTGTCCTATGACGGTTTGAGCCAACCAGTAACCTTCAACTCATCATCAAGGTAAGCCTTCACCATGCCCTTTCTACTGTACGAGAACCACTCTTGTGAAACCACTGATTATGGTTGTTCACATCCCAGCACGATGCAGGTATCTCAACCATATGTAAATTTGGCAATAGATGCCCATTCAGCCTGACATCCTGTCCAGTCCTGTCTGAGCAGAGAGCCCCAGGTGGCGGCCAGCAGGACCTGGGAGTTTCCTGATTAGCCTTCCTAGTGGCGAGCCTCTCTGAGACGTGGTAGGGATGGGGAAAAGCTGGGCGTGGGGGACGGAGGCCATGCTGGGGATAATTGAGACTGTCGGTCATAAATCTCCCAAAAGGGTGTGTTGACTGATCCCGCTAATTCTGTCTTTTTCTTTTTGCCATCCCCCCACTTCCCTGGGCCACACTTAACTGTCCATCATCTCCTCCACTGATCGGCCTTTTATGACATTTAAATTATATGCCTCTGATAGTCCGCTATTTCCCCCGCTGTTCTGTTCTTCGCCTGTATCTTAAGTATCATTCTCCATGTCTCTCCGTGATTAATTCTTTTACCTTTTCTCCATATTTTCCCCCTTTCTCCCCTCAACCTCCTCCTCTGTGCTCTTCACCTTCATGTGTGTGCATGTGAGCCCATACATATTTGAACGAGCCGTTACTCATTTCAAGCTGATAACACCAAGTGTTACACATCTCACCTGCTACAACGATTAATGAGTGTAATCTACCATAACCTGATAATGGCTTTGGGTATGTGTGTGTGTGCACATGTGCACGCACGCATGTTTCTCTACTTCTCTCCCAGCATGTCACCGTCCTTTCCCACCCCCACATCCCTCCGTCTACCTCAATCCATCTCTCTCTGTCCCTCTCTTTTGCTCAATCTTTCCTCCTCATCATTTCTATTCTCCTCCGTGCCTGTTCATAAGGATGTGGTCCGACCCCCCTGTGTGTGTAAGCCAGACAAAGAATAAGAAACATCATCAGATTTCTATCGGAGTGTCACCCATACCAGTGTTCTCATCTGAGATATCTGTGGGCCGTAACCACACAGCTAACACACTAAATGTGTGTGCGTGTGTTATATATGTATTTCGAGTGTTGTGTAAACCAATAGCAGCTGAGGAGGAGGAAAACGTATGGAAGGATCATAGATGGAAATGGAAAGCAGCCATGCATTTTAATTTCTTACAGGAATACATTGCAAACTAATTAAAGTGAAATGTAATCCAATCATCGTTACTGAACACCATTTTATGACATCAGAATTACACAGCCAAATGCAAATATTTGACCACAGTGAAAACACTGAATACATGACATGGTATAAAATTAGCTCCCAACTGCATGGCTGTGTTTGTAGCTAATGACGTTGCCAGTGTTTGTATCACTTACGTGTGCAGGCCATGGAGCGTGGGTCGGTCTCGGCGCGGTAGAAACCCTTCTCGCAGACGCACTCGACGGCTTGTTCCTGCGGGGACGAGCTGTGAGGGGGACATTTGGTGCAGTAGGCATCTGTGGCTGAAGCTTTGTAGGTGCCTGGTCTGCATGCTGGAGTGAGGAGACAGATAAACAAAGAGTTAGAGGCTGTGCTCTTTTGACCCTTCAAGACTTTTGTGCCAGAAATCCTTCGTCTCCAGAAATGCTTTTGTAGAATAATCCCAGCTTATTACAACCCAGGTCATATTTTTGTAGATCGATTCTGTCAGTCACCATAACATTACACTCGCCGAAGTAATTGCTGAGCTCTGGGAACACGGCAACATTGCTAAAAAGTAATCATGAGGCAGGCAAATATGTGCAGTCAGATGATCAGAGAGGTTTTAAACAAACCTCCAGGGTAGCCAGACTTAATTGAAATAAGGCGGTTGGTGAAATTATTTCTCAACCTGCCCGTTTAAAACATCCATCACATTTTGCAGACCTACCGCAGTTGTGTGGGCACACACTTTTCCTGTTTCACAGACCTTTCAGGTGCATTCAGCTTTAGTTTCACCTCTAAATAAAGTACCCTCTCACATCTATAGGTAGTGTGAGTTTTTAGTTACACACTATGATATTTTGCAAACACTGGGAATCTTGCAGGGTCACTGTTTGCAAAACTGCAACTAGATTCCATTTAAGATTATCTCCCATCCTGCTCCTGATGGAAAATATTGCACCAAACTCCCTTTAAGAAATGTGACATATTAAAGATTCCTTACATGTCCACAAAAACACATTACTCTAGAAACATTGCATGTCGACAGTATGTTAATGTGGCATCAATATAATCCATAAAGATAAACTGTACAAACTTTACATTTCGGATTATGTCACCTCAACTTGCTACCAGCCTCTGTTGGTTAGCTGTGCTATTTTAGTGGAAGGAGACTGTGGGAATAAAAGGCAAACCATTTAAAAAATTAAGATTTCTCACTTAAAGAAGTGCTGGGTGGTGGATCAGATACACGCAGAATTAAGTACTGAGTCATATTCACTCAACAGCTCCACCAGTTTCTCCTCCTACAAGAGAACCAAGACTTGTTCACGTTCTTGTGCCTCCCCAGATTCCCCTACATGTTTACTGTCTGCCCAGTTTGCTGCTTCCTGTTTGGTGGTAGAAAGAACGCACCTATTGGTTGTCGTTAAGGTTCACATCATTCAACTTAAGTATTTGCTTGAGCCAAGACTAAAAACATAAGCTGATATTACACATGTCTGATTTTGTCAAAGGGAGCCCTTCTGTGCGGAGTTTGCATGTTCTCCCTGTGTCAGCATGGGTTTTCTCCAGGTACTCCAGCTTCCTCCCACAGTCCAAAGACATGCAGGTTAATTGGTGACTCTAAATTGTCCGTAGGTGTGAATGTGAGCGTGAATAGTTGTCCGTCTCTATGTGTCAGGCCTGTGATAGTCTGGTGACCTGTCCAGGGTGTACCCCGCCTCTCGCCCAATGTCAGCTGGGATAGGCTCCAGCCCCCCCGCAACCCTCAAGAGGATAAGCAGTTACAGAAAATGAATGAATGAATGATTTTGTCAAGATGGTCAAGATGAGAAAAAAAAAAAGACTGAAAATATTTCAGCAATGGTGAAATCCAAAGGTGTGGACTTTGAGTCAAACTTGAGTCACAAATTTGCTGACTCAAAAAAGCCTCTCACGGGGCGTCGGTGGCTTAGTGGTAGAGCAGGCGCCCCATGTACAAGGCTGTTGCCGCAGCGGCCCGGGTTCGAATCCAGCCTGTGGCCCTTTGCTGCATGTCATCCCCTCTCTCTCTCCCCCCTTCACGCTTACCTGTCCTGTCCATTAAAGGCAAAACGGCCCAAAAAATATCTTAAAAAAAAAAAAAAAGCCTCTCACCTCAGCTTGCACTTTAACACCAGTGACTACTGACTTCACTTGCACTTGTGCCTTTTGACTTGAAAAGACTTGATACCTTCCTCCGAGCCCAAAGATTAAAAAGTATGTTGTGATATCAATGCTTTTTGTAAGTTTAATATTATTACTTCATTGTTAAAATGGCATTACATGTCTTATTAAGGACTCTAAACTCAGAGTGTAGGGCTTGGGATTTGACTCAGGACTTGGTACAAAGACATGCAAAACAATGACTTGGTTCCACCTCCTCTGAAAGTGCTTGGAAAGGCCAACAGACATAATCGGTTTGTTTACAACCTGTGCTCATGTTTCTTGCCCCGTCTGACTTTGTTATGGTGATGTTGCCAAGTTCCCAGAGCTCAACTTGTTGAGTATAATGTTATCATAGAAATGATGCCAAAACATCAATAATAAAACCAAGGTTATGCAGTCTCAAAGTACGAGAGAAATCAGATACTCATAAAAGTAGAAAATGCACAAAGACAACACAAAATGAGGAGTTATTCTAAAAACATTGATACTACACACACTGATAGGTCATGCGATGTGCCGTGCAGCACCCGTGGCAAAGAACAAGAAAACAAAGTTTGATTTGATATATTGTGACACTGAGTCTACGTGAGATCCTTTTACATCCGGCTGAAGGCCTTTATAACCACAGGGCCGTACAGTACAATAACACAGTGCAACAGCAGATCAACTGTCATTCCTGTTATATAAGCTTTAGATCTTCTGGCAACCGGGGGAACAAAAATACACAGGCGCAGTCACAGCAATAGTCACAATAACATAATATGACTATTGCTGCGGCTGTTACGGTGGCTGCATATTAGTCATTATGTGGAGTCGTAAAACTGGGGAGGGAAAACTGTGCTTCCGCTCAACAGGAGCAGTCTGCTGAAATAGACTGGGGACTTGAATGATTTCCCTTTTGCATCCTAGGCAGTGAAATGGAATTCCTGACTTTTCCTTTGGTAATCTGAATATAGATTACGCATGTATTTATTTATACATTCATAGGCCTGGTATTCCCATTCTCGCAAGCCTTCTTTTCTGCCACGGCGGTAAACAGTATTACGGTGTACAAAACCCCGTGTAAGGAAAATGAGGGCGTCTCAAATGCAATTCGATAGATGCCCTGTGTGTATGCATACATGCGTGTGTGAATAGGTTGGATCAATGGCGCAATAGAATCCGCCAGGTGCTGATTGCATGTTCGTGTGCTGAGCGCCTGTGTGCAAGAAGGTGTTAAGTATGCGGCGAGTGTGTTTGTGTGTGTGTGGGATCGTGTGTGTTCGCTTGCTGATTGCTCGTGCTGGTGGTGAAGGTCACGGATTTAATCAAGCTACACGTCACTCGTCCCAGAAAAGCTGTAAATTATCACACACACACACACACACACACACAGATGTGCTCTCACAGGCACACACACGCATGTATGTTCAACGCTGTGGTTAACCTGCTGGAGAGAGAAATGGAAAAGTGGCCTAAAAGTAGTGTGTTTTCTGACTGTGGAGGTAAGTTCTTCCACCTGGACGCTGTGCTCGCTCGCATGCAGACAGTATTTTTAGGCAAATCATTCATCATAGGGGAGCAAAGTCCACTAGCACAATCCCCAAAAGACACGAGAGAACACTGGAAAAGGAATGTGTGTGTGTAGGTGCGAAAAAGAGAGAAAGAAAGAGAGGAAGAAAGAAATGAAAGGAAAGGGAGTGATAATTCTCAAAGGGGTTCTGCTCTCTTTCCTCCTTCCTGTCAGCTTCCAAGGTAATGGGTGCCTATGTGCTGTGCTAGTGACTGTGTGTGTGTGTGTGTGTGTGTGTGTGTGTGTGTGTGTGTGTGTTCCTGTTGGCTGGGCTGTAGGAGCAGGGTGGAAAAGCAGCTTTTCTCCGGGGACGTTTCATCCGGAGAGTCCTGGCTCCGGGCTCTTGCCGGCCACAGAGGCACAAAAGGACCCCGGCACTAGAGGACAGACAAGGCGCCCCATGCCAGGCCTGGCGTCGGAACAACTGCCTGATCAAAAACTTTCTGCAAGAATGGCGGCTTGGCTGCTTCGAGTGGAGCTTCCTTTTCCTCCCTTCAATTTTCTGCTCTGCTTTTCCACCTCGTTCTCACTCCGGTTTTTCTTTCTCTCTCAAAAAGTCCCCCTTCTTCCCTCTCTCCCACTTTTCTTGCTTCTTTTTTTTTACTCAAGCTACTCCCTGTGTGTGCCCCATGGGAAATGTGTTACTTGACTTGGTTCCCTTATGATTAATGATTTACCGTAGATATGAAAAAGGGACAAGAAGGCTGAGGCAGTAAGACAGTGCTCACATAAACATGCACTCACACACAGGAGCACAAAAAAGTTTAGTCACAAAAACTCTGCTGTAGAACTATGAGCTAACTCTGACTTTGCATCACCTTAACAGCGACAGTTGACAATGCTGTGCGGTATATAGGGTGCTGTATCTGTGCAGTGTATGTGTGTGTTTCTACTAAAGACAAAGAGTGGCCTCAGATCCAGTGTCTTATTAAATATTCATCTGGTCACCAGAGAGTGTATTTATGCCAATCGATAGCTCTTAGATATGATATAGTACTGCTACTCAAGACACACCCTCAGTCACCACGCACTGATTGAGAAGGCAACAGCCCCACTGGTTCCTTTGGGAGAACACTGAACAGTGAGCTGACTGAGGTCTATTCTATTCTACTCTTTATAGGGCTACAAATACTCATAATTTTCTGTAATTGATTACAAAATGTGAGAAAATAGTTTAATAAGCCTATGACAGTTTCCCAACCACAAGGTTATGTCTTTAAGAAGCCACACTCATCAATATATTTATATTAAAGGTGTGTCAAATGACTATATGCAATGTAAATTGTGTCACTTGAAGTGATGGACCCACAGAGGACTTTCCCCTGACTCTGCGGTGAATGAGACAAATCTGCGATCTCATGCTTTATTTGCTCTGACAGATACGTCTGGTCCTCCTCCTGTTCCGACAGATTTCCAGCCGGCCTCAGATGGGTTGGGCCAATCACAAGCGTTTATCTAATATGATGTGTTTCAGACGATGACTGACAACTTGTGAAGCCTTCTTGCTTTGCGCAGTATATGTGATGATGTAATTTTTGGCTTGTGCACCTTGCACCAGGCACCCTAAAGCTCCATTTCCCCCAAGCAGTACGGTACAGTACAGTATAGTTC